CAAATAAAGTTGCGTGCCGGCAAAGCAAGAATTACGATCTGCAATCTGTTTGTAGTACCTGCAAGAATGTGCTGTACATGTATCGTATTTCTCTGTTGCTGTTTCAGTTGCAGTCAGGTTGCTAAAGAAAGGTTCGGTGACTCATTTGTTTCATACGTGACGAGTCAATGAGTCGGTGTGGCTTAGAATCTTTCGCTGTAGAAGAAATCTATTGGTATCTCTATTCGAGAAATAATTGTATTCACTGGTTATAAAAATAGGATTAAGACAAACTCACAGAACAAATACCGTTGGTCCCTTGGTGTTCGTCCTAAAGAGGTTCCTTTTGGTGAGAATGAATGATATCTAGTCGAACGACTGGATGTCATTCATACTCGCCAAAAGATGTGTAACATTTTACTATTATGGAATGCCTTGTTTATCTTTCAGTACCTCCAATCATAGCCTTGCCCCTTTTATCCTCAGGATCAGTGTAGTTGTTGGAACGAGGTGTCGGACTCAACAATGTACTTTGTTTACATTTTAATACATGGTTATTGTTCCTTCTTTGCTGTGTTGTTTTAGAAAATCGTGGACTAACATTTTGAAGTCATTGAACTACTTTCAAAAGTTGTATCGACATCAACAGGATTACGATTTCAGTGCAATATGATGCAGGATGACCTTATCACAATAACTCATGATTATAGACAATTACTTGTACAAACAAAGCACAGAATCAACAAAAAACATGTGCGACACGCAGCTGACTACATTTCTCCAGTAAATCTGATCGAGGGTGGGGAAATCTGAAAAATCTGAAAGGAAAGACAATGTTATGACAGAATCGTGAAATTCTGCAACTGCAACATCCACAGAATGACCTGCGTATAAAAAAATATCACCACCACTGCACTACCCACATGTTTCCCCCGCAGAAGAACATGCATCAAGTTATGCTAGTGCCATTTTTCTGCAAGAAATGGCTTGCACATCAATGCGTACAACACGGTATTGATATGATGTGAAGGCCATCATTTACATACATGTATAGGGCGACCGGGCATTCCATTGGCGACAGAAAATCAAAAGAAATTATAGCAATAAAAACTGCTTTATGGCAGCTTTCTAAAAAAAGTTGTTATGTTCTAGTCCTGGGTCCTTCCCCTATAGAAAATTTATAAATTTGCTTCACTGCCTTGGACTCCGTCTAAAAAGTAAAATTAACGAAATGTGATTGCTGAAAATTAAAATTTCACACAAAACCTCACAATAATCACACACAGAATGAAAAGCGAGAAGACCTTTTCCCCTCGTGATCCTCTTTCCCATGCATGCATGTTGGTGCAGTACAAGTGTCAGACTTAACAAGTGTTGAAAGCAGTATTAAAATTTTGATTGTCAAGTGTCGTGATTATTGTGAGGTTTTGTGTGAAATTTTAATTTTCGGCAATCACATTTCGTAAAAAGTAAGAAATTAAGGACGTTTAGCAACGCGAAAGTTTGAAAGAAAATTCGAGTCTGGGAATGAGTACAGAAACAAAGGTCAAAACTTCGAAAACTTGGACGCGAAGTTGCAGTGATTGGCGAAAGTAACTTTCTCTTTTCTCGGTACGCATTTCACTACAGGGAGTGGAAATTTTACAGCCCCCTGTTAAGCTGTTTGAGACTGAGCTGCATATACGGTACGGTACTATAAGATTCAAATAGCTTCGAGAAAAGTCGTTTCGCATTCCTAAACCTCACAAGTTTTCTTTTTCGAAATAGATTTTCGCGAAATATCGCCACCACGAAAAGTTCGAATTTTCGCATTGCTAAATGTCCCTATTAACGAAATGGGATTGCCGAAAATTAAAATTTCACGCAAAACCTCACAATAATCACACACAGAATGAAAAGCGAGAAGACCTTTTCCCCTCGTGATCCTCTTTCCCATGCCTGCATGTTGGTGAAGTACAAGTGTCAGACTAAACAAGTGTTGAAAGCAGTATTTTGATTGTCAAGTGTCAAGATTATTGTGAGGTTTTGTGTGAAATTTTACTTTTCGGCAATTACATTTCGTAAATTTCTTACTTTTTAGACGGAGTCCAAGGCTGTGAAGCAATTTTATAAATTTTCTATAGGGGAAGGACCCAGGACTAGAACACAATAACTTTTTTTAGAAAGCTGCCATAAAGCAGTTTTTATTGCTATAAATATTATTGCACTCCCTGTAATGATATACAGAAACTTGGCCTGACTCTCACTCACAATACTGTTGTACTGTTCATCGTTCCCAAGCCGTCGCTGGCTTCTGAATTTCATCGTACTGTTGTACGGCGTGCTATACGACATCCTTATACCGTGCAACACCGTAATGGAATGGAAGTCCTATTTGAATATTTTAACCAGCGTGTCTTTGATGGTACGGTACGGGACATGTACGGGATAGCGCCAGGTATGCCAATGGCACAAAATAACAAACAAACACGGAACGAGAGAGATTGGAAGCTCAATGCTTTTTTGCCTAGTGAGAGTAAGCTTTCTCTTTGCATTCGAGGGTAATACGGCACCGTCTACCCCCTTGATGACCTTGGCAAAAAAAACATAGGGATGTTTTAACGAGTCGGCGTGGAGAAAGCAATTTTATTCCCGTAGCTATGCAGAAGACGTTACTTCAGTAACGTCTGGCGCTAGCCAGGGTCCACACAGCTTTAATTTGGTGTTTGTTTGTTTGTTTGTTTGTTTGTTTGTGTCACGCCTGGCGCTATCCCGTATCTGTCCCGTACCGTATCGCACAGCTGGCCATTTGCTGGCTTCCGTATCTGTCCCGTACCGTACCGAACCATCAAACACAGCTGGCTACAAACAGCTGGCCACAATATTATGTACATGTATACGACTCCCTGTGTGTTGCAACTGTGCTTGAAGGGGACCGTTGCACTTTTTGTAGCTCCGTTTTATCTGAGTTTTCAGTCGTTCCTCTTACTAGTCTTGCCAAGGGGGTGGCTCTGGGTCCACCAGAGTTGCCCCTGGCGTATTTCTGAATTTGCTGGGGCGAGGTTTCCGCGACGCGGTCGCCAAGTCAGTGTCTTTTCAGTCACGACCGTTGTCGTCCTCGTCTCTCCATTCGCGGTGGTGTAGCTGACCCCCGAATGGTTTCAAACTGCGAAGCTCGGAGGAGTACAGTGGTGGCAGAGGCATGAGCTGTGAGTGGAGACGGTTGCTGGAGATGGATGGTGATGCAGGGAGAAGAGTTACGCTGCCTGACGCCGCGTGGGAAATTGTTTGAACCTGCAATTTCAGTTCGAGCGCGGTGGACTTCTAGACGATGTGTCCTCATGGCTGTTTTTCAACGCTTGGCCTATTGCTGATATCCCTGCGTGGGATGTTCTTCCTGTGGAGTCCAGGTGGAACTTCGGATGCCCACACTCCATCACCTGGTTGATTGTTTCGGAACTGCAAAAATAATTATTGTTTCCTATTTTGTGCGCATCTCTTGTCATCTCTCTTTTCTATACGTCGCACACCAGATGTACTACTATCGCCATCTTTCTCTTGCTTTCTCTCCCTGCTTGCTGTTTTTTGTTTCTGTTGCCACTGTCCCTCATCATACCCATGCTTGGGTGGTGGGCGGCGTGACCCGTTAGGGTAGCTGCCAATACAGTACGACTCCCTGATGTATAGAGAGACTTTAAAGAAATAGGGAGACGAGGAGGATATGAAATTAGAATGGATGTTAGTTTCCGAATAGGTGATAGGATGCGTCAGCAAAAACATACTTTGGAAGAGAGATCCCGTCGTCTCCAAAATAGGCGTGAACGGGCGAGTCAGCGCCGGTAACAGGAAACGTCGGCAGAGAGATCCCGTCGACTCCAGAACGCACGTGCTCGGTAGAGTCAGCGCCGTCCCAGGAAACATTTCCATCAGTTCCCACAACATTCACGATGAGCTAAGTAACAAAGCATAGCGTAGGGCCCTGAGCTTCCAAGCTCTCTCGTTAATGCAATAAAGAATATAATAGATGCAGACATGGCCAGACAACAAGTTCATGGAATTTTTAAGGATGTTTATATTATTCAAAATCTTTTTTCGTGTTTTTGTTCACACTTTTAATTATGCTGTTATAAAATTTTCTTTTTTGTACACAGTATCCTCAGTTCCGATACTATTCACTGATGAGCGGAACACGAAAATCGATTTTGAAAAACATAAACATCCCTAAAAATTCCATGAACTTGTTGTCTGTAGCTCAGTACTCTGTCGGTTTTCTGCCTAGGTGTACTTTCTGACTGTATAATAGTAGCTAGTTACGGTGGAGGAGAGTTACTCTTAAATCGTTTCCATTATGTCCTTTTTTCTTTCTACATTAGTTTAATTATTGGCTCAATACCCGAGTTTCAAATTGCACACCTGATGACCGGTCACGAACCATACGGCGAAACGTACGTAGTGTGAAACAACTTGTTTTGTAGTCAACTAGTCCATCACAATGTCATGCGTGAGGAGTACTGTGAGAGTTTGGCGTTCGGCTTGTACAATTCGTTTTCGCAAAGTTTCCAAATTCTCTACATATCTTCGATATTTCTGAGCAACCCAAGTGCAGTGGGGTGATGTGCTGCTTTGCTGCTTCAAATTGTAGTTAGACCGCTTTGTCAAGTATCCTACTGGTCTCGTCATCGTCCAGTAACAATCGACATTCGTTGTGCCTTTGGGAATGTAGCTTGTGCTCGTTTTCATTGCGCTTACCTTCCCCTCTTTGGTCTCCCCATAACCGTGAGTCTTCCGAATTGGAAGGCTGTAGGTTAGCGCTACGGAGGTGTGTTGTAGCTAGGTGCCAGGACGTCGAATGTCTCAGTACTCTGTCAGTTTTGTGCCTAGTTATTGCACTTTCTGACTGTATAATAATATCTTGTTACAGTGCTGGAGAGTAACTCTTAACCGTATCCATGGTAAGCCCTTTTCCGTTCTTCATTTGATTTTGGCTTAACAACCGAGTTTTTAGCTTTTCAGACAAATTTATTAAACATTTGGAGCGCAAATCACTTCACAAGTTCGAGAGCTGTGCTTGCTCCTGGAATCTCGCCTTCCAGCTCCCGGATAACGCGGTCCATGTCGAAGCGCCGCGCTGGATCCATCCGCAGGAGATTTGTGACCAAGTAGTTCACGAAAGGGCGGAGGTCGTTGAATGGTGTCTGACCCAAAAATTGGAGCTGCACCGGGTTTCTGCTGCTTGATCTCTCGGAGCTGCTGTCCAAATGCTCACGAAAGTATTTGAAGTCCTGATTGTGATCAGAGGCCCTATCCCAAGGCGTTTGGTAGCTCGGGGTCAACGAATTCAAGGCCATCATACCGAATGACCAAATGTCCACCGAAGCTGCAAGAACTATACGAGTTTCCGCTGGATAGGTGAGTTCTGGGCATGCGAATTGCCACGCATTCCCAATGCAATGGCCGGATGTTACTTTCAAACCCATGACTTTACTTGCCCCGAAGTCGATGATCTTGCCCATGGGTTGGCCGTCTGCTCCAATGCGCACAAGAATATTGTCCATCTTGATGTCAGCGTGGACAATGTGCAAGGAGTGGATGTGTTTCAAACCCTTCGCCACATCCCTGCACACTCGGAGGCGACCCGCATAGGAGAGCTTCGAATAGTTTTCTATCATGGTACCTTGACGCAGATATTCCACCTGGAAGCCATAGCAACTGTCGCTAGAGAAGTTGTACAGTGTGTTGTGAATCTGCGCTATGTATGGGCAGCCAGTCCTTGTTACATATCTGTGGACGGTGATCTCCTGCAATATCCTCCTCTTCTTGCGAGCTTCGGTTTGTTGGTCAAATTTGCGCATCTTCATAACAGCCTTGTAAGGCTGGCCTTCATCTGCTTTGATTCTGTAAATTTCTACCTTTCCGTTCTCGAACATCTTCCTTTTGACTGTGAAATCTTCGTGGAGAGACGTTAAGCAGAGCTGGCGGATTTCGTTCTTCTGCATTTCGAGGAGCTGCGCAAGCTGGTATGCCTGGTCGTCGGCGTATTTGCCTGCATACGTAGCTGCGACTTCTGACGTCATCTGGTCACCGACCCCAGATGGCTGCTCAGTCACGGCTTCCGGTCTGGGGGTTGCAGCTTCAGCCATTTCAGCGAGAAGGATGAAGATGAAGATGAATAGGAAATGAAGTTACTTTGGATCTCCGAGTTAAAGAAAGCCGTTGAATCACACTTGAAGAACAATGCGAACACGTAAGCGCAGCCCTTTTATGCGCCATGCATACGTCTGAAATCAGTCCGTATCCGCTATAAAATCACAAGCCTGTATCGTACAAACATACACCTCTTCGTTCTCTTCAATACATTTTTGATTGATTGATTGATTGATTTTTATTTCACGGATCCTCCAGAGGCAAATAGATGCCTATCGAAGGGAGTATCCTAATACATGAGCCGAGTCAAGCTATAAGGTGGTTTAGGCATAATTTTTGGAAGATTCGTTTTCCATGCTTAGTGAAGTCTATAATTATATTCCATCTTTGAAATTTTGGTGCCCATCTGAAATGCACAATGTGCCATAAATAAGCATACGTTGTGTACATTTTACATAATGCCTGGTATCAAGGACACCATGGAATCCAAGCCCTGACCAAACTCCAAAAACACTTGGGACACCAAGTGGAGATAAATCTTAGCAGGTGTGTATTATTATTATTATTATTATTAATATTATGTGTGTATGTAATACAAGAACAACTAGCACGTGTGTTCTGATTAGAAGATCTAAGGAAAAAGAAATATCTGATCTACACATCTCATGTCATTTTATCACCATCGACACGAATTTTCATATCCTTTAATGATGTTGTGACTATATTTTCGCGGGGCTGGGAAACATGCCATCTTACCATGACAGTCAGTAGTTGTCACTTGTAGTATGTTCCCCAAGTTCTTTGACTGAGAATCTGACGGTTTGGGTTCAAATCCCAGCATCTGGCTTCAGATATTTCTTTTCTTCTTCTTTCAGTCCGTCATACTCTCTCCAATCGCCTATTCCAACATGCATTAACCCTTTCATGTAGCTCGTAGTGCGGTGCCAGAGATCTAGCTCCATTGGTGTACTGCCCTTGCACGGACTGCACATCACTTAAAAAAGGGGCGCTGGTTCTTTCGGTCCATCCTAGTCCATGAAAGTCTCCTTCACTGACTATGCTAGCAGGTAGAGTCAATTCATTGCTTCGTCGTGTGGCACTATTTCCTTGTAGTGAAGTACGGTGGCCACTGCTTTACATGGCATTATACATGAAGAAGTTCCTGTTTGTGTCGTGTGCATGTGCGTATGTGTGCGTGGCCACGTGCGTGTGCCGTGTGCATCCGCGTGTGGGTGTACCTGTGTGCGGGGTAGCGAGGTGGGGAGGTATGTATCGGTGTGTTATTGCAGTCTCATGGCTGCATACAGTACATCGCGCGCGTGTTCATCATGTTTACCTTCGGGGTTGGGGTGGGGAGGGAACGGAAAAATAGCTGAAATTACTACCCATATAAAAAAACGCTTGTGAGCGGTTCTGAAAAAACCTTTACTGGTGCTGCCCTGTCGTAACAGTAAGAAATTAGAACTGGAGCATTGTCCCCCCCAAATGCGAACTGATCCACCTAAATCACGAATGACGGGACCGGAACGCACCAGTAGCACGAGGTTCCTACCTGTGGATGCAGATGGGTCGTTGGTCGGGACTATAGGCCATGGTCGTCGATGAACTCGAAGCAGCAAAGGATTAGTACTTAGCGTCCTAGGAGAGTACAGTTATGATTAAAATTGCATTCTGCCCAGCTCTGGTGCGATCGAGAATGGAATCCCAAAAAGCTATTCTCATGGCATACTTAAAGTCCTATCAACGTTCAGTGCCGGAATTTGACCAGGTCCATACTGCTGAACTGATCCGTAATGCTGTCTTGGAACCACTCCACGCCAGTGTAACACCGTCGAATCTGTAAGATTGGGTTTCAGATTAGCGCACACCCAAAAAATTGATAACAATGTTGTTTCTTCAAGTTCCTTTTCAACCATTTCTCAATACCCCTTACTGCTTCCTGCCTACCCTTTCTACGCTTAGTAGAATACTGCCAACAAGAGAGTTGCCCGCTCCCAGCATTTACTGTGCTTTTTTTCTACCCAGGCCTGATGGCATTGTTGCCATTTTTTATGAAGTTATGGGAACTCGTACTGAAAAAATAAATACAATAAGCAGAAAAATGAAAAAAATTATGTCGTACAGCCACTCAAACTGATAACTGGTGTTAGAAAGGACAGTGTACGAAGCCATACTTCCCTTTGTTTCCCAATCACGGCCATACAAAAAAAGCGGGAACACGTAATGTAAGCACCGTGTATTCCTGAACATAAGCCGCACTTTGAACACACCAATTTCACTCCAAAAAGGGGGTGCAACGTATACTCGGATGATCCACATAACGGTGATACAGTATTTCGTGGCACAAAGAGGGAGTTGGGGAGCGGCTGTTACTCCGGGAAATACTGTATATGTTTGTTTACAACACTCACCCTATGTAATCTAGAAAGATAAAAAATACCTGTGAGTTATTTATGACTAACAGTCCAGGAAGGTAACGAGATAATAATTATACAGTCAGATAGAGCGACAACAAGAAGAGGATTGGTGGATTGTTAGTCATATCTAGTAACTTATAGATTATTTTCTCTTTACATATTACTATTGGCTCAGCATCCGAGACATAATATACGCTAGAATTGGTGTTACTCGCGTAAATAAAACTTAGACATGACTGAAAAATTGACAACAACCGTAAGCAAGAAAACCCATGAGGTAGTGAGGAAAGACTTTGAAATCATGCAGGCACATATCAAGTGTGCAGGCGAGACAGGAGACAGTTTGGAGAAGGTCACCACACATGCATTTTTATCGCTCCACAGGTACCCTCGGTCTCAGGTACCTTCGGTCTCAGGGACCCTTGGTCTCTGGTACCCTCAGTCTCAGGTACCCTCAGTCTCAGGTACCCTCAGTCTCAGGTATCTTTGGTCTCAGATACCCTCGGTCTCAGGGACCCTCGGTATCAGGTACCCTCGGTCTCAGGTACCCTCCGTCTCAGGTACCCTTGGTCTCAGGTACCCTCGGTCTCAGGTAGCCTCGAGCTCCTGTGTGGGAGCAGATCCATTACTACTTCGAAGTAATAATAATCCTAATAATAATAATCACATTCGTTTCCATGTAATTGGGCTTGTAGCCCGTGTGTACTTGCGAACTCTAAAAAAATATATACATACATACACTTGAGAGGGACGAAAAGCGTTTCTTCTGTAACTCTGAGTTTCACGGTTTTAACCGATCATCAGACAGCAACTTGACTACAATTTTCAGAAGATAAGATTGATATAGGCTGCAAGCTTGGATCATAGCGCGAATGGATGATCCGGGCTGATGGTGTAATACATACATACATACACATACTTCAGTACATGAAAACAACGCATCTTCGTGATGAACAATCGCACAGCAATGTTCATGACGTTTGGATACAGCTTGCACTGCCTGTGTACTGCAAGACTAGATATTTTATCCTCAATTAAAGTTAACGATCTCAGAATTTGGAAACGAGTTAAGAGTAACTCTCCACCACTGTAACTAGATACTATATACAGTCAGAAAGTGCAACAACTAGGCACAAAACTGACAGAGTACTGAGACATTCGACGTCCTGACACCTAGCTTCAACACATCTCCGTAGCGCTAACCGACAGCCTTCCAACTTGGAAGGTTCAAGGTTATGGAAAGACCAAAGAGGGGAAGGCAAGCGCAACGAAAACGAGCACAAGCTACAGTCCCAACGGAACAAAGAATGTCGATTGTCACTGGACGATGACGAGACCAGTAGGCGATTTGACAAAGCGGTCTAACTACAATTCGAAGCAGCAAAGCAGCACACCACCCAACTTGGGTGGGTCAAAAATATCAAAGATAAGTTAAGAAGGGTTCCGCTTTGCGAGAACGAATTGTACAAGCCGAAATCTAAACTCCTACAGTACTCCTCATGCATGACATTGTGATGGACTAGTTGACTACAAAACAAGTTGTTTCACACGACGTACGTTTCGCCTCTGTCAGTTTTGTGCCTAGTTGTTGCACTTTCTGACTGTATATAGTATCTAGTTACAGTGGTGGAGAGTTACTCTTAACTCGTTTATTATGTCCTTTTCCTTTCTACTTTTATTATTGGCTCAATACCCGAGTTTCAAATCTCAGAATTTTTGTGGATTAATAAACGAAGTGAAATTTTTACGAATTCTGCCTCAAAACCGGCAAATAACTGAACATGTACATTATCGTTTTGCACATAACGACTTGAATGTGAACGATTCTTTCAAATTCGTTAACTCGTTATACCGAGAGAGCTGAGAAGCTCAGGGCCCTACGCTATGCTTTTTTGCTTTGATGACCTAGGCAAAAAAAGCATTGTAAATTTTTCATTTCTCCAATTATGTTTAAGACAAAACCTGGGATTCGAACCCGCACTATCGCCCTGCATGCATCCCCAGATACACTTCGCATACATACTAATTCTTCCAAGTTGCTTCACGTTATGATCTTGCATTTGAAAGATCTATTTGAATATTGTGGCGCCAGCTGTTTGTGGCCAGCCGTCTTTGATGGTACGGTACGGTACGGGACAGGTACGGTCGAGGGTAATACGATACCGTCTACCACCTTGATGACCAAGGCAAAGAAGCACAGTGATGTTATAATTTTTTCAATTCTCCTATTTTTTTCAAGGCATAACCTGGGATTCAAACCCGCACAATCGCCCTACATGCATTACCCGATACACTTCGCATTCATACTCATTCTTCCAAGTTGCTTCACGTTATGATCTTGCATTTGAAAGCCCAATTTGAATATTGTGGCCAGCTGTTTCAATAAAATTACTGTTGATGCAATCACATAGAATCTATCTTTCGGTACACTAACAGATGTTGCTGCTCCAAGCTGGCCACAGCCCGACTAAGTACATGTACGAGCGTCAAACAAGGCACTGTTGAAAGGTGCTGCTGCAATGGAAGCTGTGCTGGGTCTTGCTAAAAGAGTCTGGAAGGGATATGTATCCTCTCGGATATCGTAGGAAGAGCGTGACGTTTATTAATTGTGTTTTATTCTCACATAAAATTTGAAATCATCACGCTAAGGACAGTTGCAGTTAGTGATGTCGCTAAATGTAAAGTGCTAACATTTTTCTGCTAGAAGCATTGCTCGCTCCCCTCCTGTTCGGGGAGTGTGTTTGTGTGATAGGGTGGGGGGGGGGGGGCAGTTACTTTGTGTCCATGTACCCTGCCGAGCACCTTCATCATGCCGTCTCTTGCTGGCTGCATGTGCTTCACAGGAACGACTGGGCTATCGGGTCGACATTCTCTTTGCAGTGTTCCTTCTGTTGGTGAGGTTTTACATGAATGTGCTGGGCATGGGTGTCCTGCTGATGTGTCACTCGGTCCTGGTCATTAATGCGCTCTTTAAGTACAAAGGATTCCGGGCGTTGAACAAGCCGCTTGTAAGCCGGCTTGCGACTGGCTGTTTGCTTACCGTTGGCATTCTTGCCTCCCGCTGCAGTCTGGGCCTTCTTGCCTCCTGCAGCAGTCTGGGCCTTCTTGCCTGCCACAGCAGTCTGAGCCTTCTTGCCTGCCACAGCAGTCTGGGGCTTCTTGCCTGCCACAGCAGTCTGGGCCTTCTTGCCTCCCAAAACAGCCGCAGCTTCACGCTCCATTTGCCGTATTGCTTTCTCGTCAGGCGACGGGGCTGTGGCTGGTCGCCAGAGTTCAGTGTTGCTTACTACGACCTTTTGACGTCTAAAGGCTGGTACGACGCCCGCAGCCGGGGCTGCGGCGGCGGCTGCCTTGCCCTGGCAAAACTGGGCGTCATCCGCAAAGATCTCAGTACAGTACTCTACAAGCACCTCATTCCAATCCGGATTGTTAGCCGCACACTGCTGCCCATGCTGAGGCTGCTTCCTCAAGCTCTCGAAGGATTTTAGCACTTGCCCCTTTTCTTTGACGGAGTACATCAAACCGATTAAGGAAGTTGGATTGCTGCAGAGACACAACAAAAGGAACCGGACACACAGCATTACGATGGAGAAATGCCAATATGAAATGCTTCCCGGGTCATCCTTTGCTGTGCACGGCGTCAATGCTGCCTGGCTCCCCATTGGATCCAGGGTGAAGTTGGCCATGGTTGGCAACAAAAAAAACCCGCACAAAGTGTTTATTGGGTGCTCCAGCCATGTATTGTTTGGAATATAATTAAACTAAACTAAACCTCCGGTACAAAGTACCTGGGATGTTACGTACTTTACTCATTGACTTTACTCATTGAATCATGCCTCCCAGGTCTTACCAGTGCCCTCTCAGGAACAGGTCATAAAAAATCACACGTGCTTCATCTGCGTGAAAGTGATCAATGCCCAAAACCTGCCGATATGAGAAAATGCACGGTATGTTAGCAGGACCCGGTATGCCCAAAATATGTGGAACCTTGTTCCCCTCTTTCTTGTCGACTACCTGACTTGAACAGCCGCTTTTGCTGGCAACTGCAGGGTGGTTGCATCAATCAAGTTTTACTTTAGAAGCATGTTTACACTCTTGTGATGGGCCATGGTCGAAAATTTGGTGAACAGTTTGTTTAAAAAGAGGAACATGTATGTTGCAAAGAGACCGTATTTAGAGTGTTTGAGGTGAGGCACCCTAGCATGGCCAGCTCTGCGCCATTATACATGTAACGTAAAGTACCGTTGATCCGCCCTCCCCCCCCCCCCCACGCCATGTCTCCTTCCCAGCTGGGTTTTTCAGCAGGGGGCGGGAGTTAGATCAAGGCGGTCAAGTGCAGTGCGATGTACAACACCGTGGAAGTTCTGACTCAATGTGCTGGATTGTGCACATTTTCATTCTCCATTCGCACGTATTGTGTACAACAGTGCATGTGTTGGTTCAATATCGTATTTCCTTGTATACGCCGAAGTCGCTTCACAGGCGGAAAATCAACAGGGGGGGGGGGGGGGGGGGCAATTGGAGAGGCGTCGGATCAACGGTACATTAAGATACATAAAGACTTTTTCATTGCGTGGACTGCATGGGAGCGATGACCTAGCCACCCGATCCATGGATGCATTGCGGGGGAGGGCAAAGAGCTGTGGACCACATGCACGCAAGTGCAAAGTCAAACCATCACGATGCTGGTTATTGTGATCGAGAATAAGGTATTTTCTCCGCGATGTGTTTGAAACTGATGGTGGCGGTGGGACGGAGCGCTCTGTTTTACATAGCTTGGACAGTCATGTATTTATGGCCTCTTAATCAAAATTAGAAATTGGATGTCGACATACGACCAGACTTAACCATTCATAGTGATATTGAGCAGGTGAATCAAGGCCCTAAGTATTGGGGGTCGACTTATAACCAAGTGCGACTAACAACTGGTATAGGAGTACAGAAAATGACATAAAAGGTAGCTGTCTGCTGACTGAGCATATTATACATTTAAGTAGGTTGGACATGCAAACCTACCGTATCACAATGTTTTGGACCACTTCAGGCATCATCGTCAACCGTTGAGCGACGGCTTTCACCTGCTCCGTGTCAAGTTTACCAGGCTCTCCCGGCGAACACTTCTCCCGATATTGCACATGTATTCCGTGTCTGTAACCTGGGGCATCGGTGAGCCAGCGCTGAGCTAGCAGATCCGTTGCACTAGGGCGTCTCTTAGGGTCGAATGTTAGTGCTGCAGTTATGAGATCCTGAAGCTCTGTAAGGGAGAGAATCATAAACGGGGAAGACAATCATACTCGTACACCTGCACATCGCTGAAGCGATGATAGCGAACAAACTTGTGCTGGGATTACAACATCAAAAAGCTTGCAAAGCTGATGAATGGACCACCACTAAATTTAGCCTGGTCTACACCACTCAGCTGGGTGTAGTGGCTTTTTCAGGCCAGTGAATCCCTATGTTTCATTTTGTGTTTACACACCGCACCACATACTCTGGCATGCACTGGCTGTTGGCAACCACCCAGGAGAATGAAAGGAGAGCTAGGAGAAGAAGAAATACGTGTGCAACCACAATCGTCGGGAATTGAGCAAGCACCCTCTCGATTGGAAATCGACAGCACATACAACTGCTCCATACGGGACACACACATGTTGATATGCAATAGTGTGTGTGTGTGTGTTTGTGTGTGTGTGTGTGTGTGTGTGTGTGTGTTTGTGTGCAGCGATCAAAATCGTTCCTACAGTACTACACCAATCTTGGTAGATAAGGATTCATCTGCAACGCATGCAGGCCCACATACCATGTTGGGCTCCAACTCTGACCCCCCACGGCCACTCAGCCCCCTCCTCCATGGATAACATGACATAAACCATGTAGGTCCTACAGTCCGCATGCAATGTTTATTTTCTCCACAAGTTCAGCAAAGATCTGAAACTACTCCACTAACATAGTACTAATGTTGTTGTTGTAGATGTTGTTGTTGTCGTCGTCGTTGCTGCGGTTATTGTGTCGACCTGTTTGTGTGTATGTGTGTGTGGGAGGGGTAATAACATTTTCTATATTTCTTTCTTTCATTGATTTATTCTTTCCTTCTTTTTCCTGGCTTGAACATCATTCTCTTTGGTAGAAATCTGGTGTTTTCTTTTGGCGAAATAAAGATCTCACTTGCTGTTGCATTTATCGTACTCTTCTCCACATCGCAGACTGGAATGTGAGTAACAACGATTTCCCCAAAACAAGAGTTGGCGGAGTGGTATTTGGAAATGAGTAAATAGGCAAAGCACGTAGGTCATTCAACTGAAGGATAAGACGATGTCACAATGTGGAGTTTTTGTGCAGCGTCGGCCGTCGTTAGGTGACTACAGACGAGTTTTTCCCACTTTAGTCATGTGACCCTTGCCGGCCGGCATGAAACTATGAACTTTCTTTAATCTTCCATTCAATGCCCTATCTGTCACCAATCTGCCTTCTGCATTGAGCTAATATACAATACAAACCATTGCAAAAGACTAGACGGTGGTTGGCCGGGTTGATGCACAGATGCATCGGTGCAGAAGAGGTGAGTGTCTGTCACCAAAACAGATCTCAGAGTCACAGTCTGGTCTCGCATCCACCCATGCACCAACACAGGATCAAGATTCTTCCCATTCACTGTAGTGATGTAGACACATGTTATGGCCATGCGTACGTGCGTACGTGCAGTGAACTGTAAGTGAACAAATATTCGGCGCATATATAATATATTTTCGACTATTTTCCGCCTGGTCATTTTTGGCCGAAAATTTGTTTTGTTTTGCAAGCTTCAGCGTGACAGTTTATACAGGCGGCAGCAGCACAGGTCGAAGAATAGATGCGGCCGAAACGGATTTTAGCCTTGGGAGGCTGAGCTTCGAATGAGCCGAAAATACGCCAACTTACAGTACAGCATAACAGAAAGCGTGGAAGACGAAGCCTACAATGGCTGCCTCCTGACTTGTGTTGCTGCTGTCAACATAGTAGTGGTTTAAACTCACCGCCTGACAGAGCGAGGAAAGCGTCATCGCTGAAGACCGAACATCCTTCCAACACCGCTCTCAGCTGTCCTCGGTGACTTGGCCTTTTCGGTACAGGTGATGTGTGTGTTCTCCCGGTGACCAGTTTGAAGATCAATACTCCCCTGGGCACACAAAAACATACAAACACACACATATAAATGCACGCGTGCAAAAACACATGCATGAATACACACCGACACATGCGTGCAGGCAAACATAATGTTTGGAAGGAGCGGTAAAGGCTAAAATAGCATTGAAACAAGCAATAAAAAGAGCTAATTCTGCTGTCATTCCCATGCATCAATGAAAAAAGGAAAAAACCTGGCATAGTTAACTCTATCTATAGCAGCAACAATGTGATTTGGAAAGTACAGTTCGGTTGAGGGATGATGATGATGGTGGCGGTGGTGATGATGGCGGGGGTATTCTGGCAGATTTTCGCTGGGGTCGTTCTAGCCTATCCAAGCAAGTGCGCTCGGATAGTGATAAGGGTAGGCTTCAGCTTACAAAGAATATTGAAAGACTTCAGTACTGCTATTCCTGACTGTGTATTAACTATTCTCCGCCTAGCGAAGGTCAGAATGGAAAGATTGTTCCGAGATGCCTGTGTTTTTGTTCTTCACTAAGTCATTATGTTTCTTGCTACGATAAGGGTCACCACAGTTATTCACAATCGGCGAGGGAATGGGAACATTGTGACAGAATTAGAGGATGATTCGTGCCTTCGTGATAACTAGCAGGCGCAGACTTTCGTGGCAGTCTCCAGCTGCTGAGATACTATTCTTGGTTTGTAGTGCTAATGCTGATGTTATTTTTGTTGTTGTCATCATGGTCATTGGCGTCGCTGCTGCTGGTGTCGGCATCATCGTCGTCAGCGTCATGGTATCTAGCATTTCTCTAGGGCAATGCACGTACACTGTTAGCGTTACAACATACCCAGAATGCCTCAACCTTGCCACCAGCAAGCAACTCAGGTTAATGATCATTGACACATGCATGAACCCCGCATGGTTTGTTTATGCGGGCAATATGCGACCTGCTCATATTATACCCGGGTTTAACACCATGTGGTCTAGATTTGAAACTCGGATGTTGACCCGATGATAAATAAAAAAGCAAAGGAGCAGAACATAATTCGATATGTTCCGCTGCTTTGCTTTCTCAAAGGTCTAAATTTGAACGCTCTTTCAATGAGCGAACTAAAGAATTTTTTACTGTAAAACCGGGAATTTTCGGTGGCATATTATTTTCGGTGTTTCAAAAAATCAACGGTTTGGTAGTGCAAACATTTTGGCAAACCAGTTGTCCCGATCTCAAAAATGTTTCTCCGTGGTGTCGCATTACACTGTTGAATTTTAAGTTGCGTTTTATTTTAGGTAAAAATTAACTGCTCCAAACTTACCGAAAATAAATCTCCACCGCACTGTTTCCGGTTTTACAGTATTATGACTAGAAAAGCAGTTAGGAAATCATGACTTACAGCTGCCAGATATCAACCTTTGTAGTGATTGGCAAGCTGGGATGGGCCTGCTGGAACTCCGGTGGATTGAGATGGTGCTTAATATCAACCACAGATCCCTTTGCAACAAATAATTCTTCGTCCCCGGAGACATCTATGGCCAGTCCAAATCCTGAAAAGGGAAGCAAAGAGAAAGGTTTGCAACACATGAGGGTATGTGGTGATGAAGTCAAGACAATGCCGATAATTGTGTGTGTGTGTGTGTGTGTGTGTGTGTGTGTGTGTGTGTGTGTGTGTGTGTGTGTGTGCGTGTGCCCGCGTGCATATGTGTGCATAGATTAGTGACACCTCACGTCTAACTCAGCCACCAACACCAACAGCACCAGTACCCCTTAACTACACTTGGACAGCCACCAACTCTACTGCTGCTACCGCTGCCTCCACGGCCACCGCCACCGCCACCACCACCACCGCCACCACCACCACCACCACCACCACCACCACCACCACCACCACCACCACCACCACCACCACCACCACCACCACCACCACCACCACCACCACCACCACCACCACCACATCCACCATCGCCACCTCCACTGCCACCTCCACTGCCACCTCCAACGCCACCACCACCACCACCCCTAGCACCACCATCACCACCACCACCACCACACCTGCACCAACACCACCACCACACCTGCACCACCACCACCACCACCACCAGCACCACCACAACCACCACCAGCACCAGCACCACCACCACTAGCACAACCACCACCACAACAGCACCACAACCGCCACCACCACCACCACCATTTCCGCTACTCACCTACAAGCTTGACCAGTCCGGACTCTTGTACAAGGATGTTACTGCCTTCAATGTTATTGTGCAGCACCTTGGCCTCATTCATGTATTGCAAAGCCAGCAGCACCTGCTGTATAATCGGGCGCATCACTTGTTCAGGAATCTTGCGATCAGGGGAGTTTTCTTTAATAATTGTTAACGTCCCTGTGCAGTATCACCGACAAATAGGCAAGAGGCAAGACACAAGTATTGCTGCTAGAGAGTATTATTATTATTTTCATTTTTCTTTCAACTTCCCTCGGGCAGGGAATATATGCCAATATGGAGGGAGCGGGGCAATGGCCCAGCCAGGATAGTAGATAAAAAATGCCAAATGCCAAGTGACAAAGGGCAATGACCTACACGGGGGGGGGGGGGGGGCAAAAAGAAGCAAGTCTGGATGAAGAATCTAAATGTGTATTACCCGGAGCTGATTGGACACCCAACCTTATCCATGAAGTTGAAAGTAATAATTATTAGACTTATGCGCAGACTTGTACCTACATGTATATGTGCATGCACATCAAAATCTACACAACACCGCAATGTGTATGAGAGGGTGTGTGTGTGTGTGTGTGTGGGGGGGGGGGGGGGGTATTAGCCATTTCGGGGCTCCCAGTTCAAATAATATTATATGAGCCGCGCCAAGCTAAAAAGTGGCTTAGCGTTTTGCCAACAAATCGAGAAAATCACCAAAACGTCACAGTCGGCAAAATTCTACTCGAGCGCAGTCACGAAAATATTCACTTTCGAGCATCCTTTCAAATTCAAGTAAATAGTTTGCAAGTGGAGAAGAAGGAAGAGGCCTTTTATTTTTGAGCAACACTTCTTCAGTGTTCCCTCTTTCATCGTTGAGTAGATTTCTCGGCGCTGCCAGAGATCGTAATGGAGCGTTCTGGAGAATGTGGAGGCGAGCTGGATGACACTCTGTCTCCGTGTGCGCCCAACCCTAGTTGACGAGGAAAACTCGCTCATTCATAGTGGCTATGGTTCTCATCGTGGCCACGACTAGTCTAGAGCGTCTGGTATACCTATGTGGAGACGTCTACAAGCCGTCCGGCCATCACTCTGACAAGCTCCCTAGTGAGTTGGATCTTGCTGCGATGTTTCACTTTGTTTCGGGTACCTTCAAATGTTCATGACGTGGCGTACTGTACTCCAAAATTTCCTCATTTCAAGGACAATAGTGCTAGTATATCGTCCCGTGGTGCTTATACCACTACCTACACCAGGGAAGGAGAATGACATGGACTAGGACGGACAAAGAATCAGTGCCGCCTTTTAGCGATGTGCAGTCTGTTGGACCTATGTGCAAGGGACCAATGGAGCTCGATCTCTGGCACAACACTACGAGCTACAGGGAAGGATAAATTCATGTTGGCATAGGTGATTGGAGAGAGGATGACGGACTGCCTTGGTAAGATGCGACATTTCCCAGCCCAGCGAAAAATATAGTCACAGACTCACATAATCATTGAAGGATATGAAAATTCGTGTTGCGTGATGAAATGACATGAGATGAATAGATCAATTATCTCTTCTTTCTTGGATCTTCTAATCAGAACACAAGTGCTCGTTCCTCTTGTATTGCTTCCACACCTGCTAAGCTCTGTCTCCACTTGGTGGCCCATGTTTTCTGGAGTAGGTATTATCTTAGTTTCATTGATACCAGGCATGCTGTGACATGTGGGCAATGTATGCTTATTTATGGCACATATACATTTCAGATGGGCACCAAAATTTCCTTGATGGAAGTTGGATAGGTAGACATCGCTTTGGCATGAAAAAAGAAATTTCCAAAAATTATGCCTAAGCCACCTTTTTGCTTGGCTCGGCTCATATTTTATTCTGGTCGAAGATCAATTGCAGCACTAGACCTACAACTTGATGGCCGCGACATGCCTAGAGTTAAACTGCGACATTAACATGCATTAACAATGAGCGTTCTGATTTACGGGCATTTCGCAGAAGTGGTGAGTTCCACTGTACTACTGTTCAATGTAGCACATAGATGTGCAACATATCCCAGATTGTTGCGTACAGTAGCCGGGATTATCCCTGTAGAAGCCGATGTCCGTGCCAGGCTTCTATTCAAATCAGGCTTGTATTCCAAGCGTGTGTTTCTATGCAGGTCAACAACAAGCCAGGCTTATGTGCAGACAGCCCATCTGGAAATTCAAATTTGTATTAAAAGCCGGATTTTGTACGAGACACTACAGCACTTTACTCAACAGTACTGTCGGCCGTGGAAGAACTGGGGGTCAGGTCACTAGCCTAGCCCGTTCTTATTTTCAGCGAGCACAGCAGTTTCGTTCTCATTCGATGGTACAGTCTTACATGTACATTAACGCAGAGTAATACGTCTGTGTGTACGGTATAGCGTACATTACAGTTCCCGTTCTTGTCTGAAAAAAATCCAGCCTCGAACGTTCTTAAAAATTGGTGAAATTCTAGCCTGGCCGTTTTTCGGTGGTCCGTTCTTCGGCGCCCGACAGAACTGTACTATTGGTCACCTAAGAATGAACAGGCTAGAAAGTGACCAAGCAGAGCAAACTAACATATACGCGGTGAGTCAGCGGTGACTAGACAGTAGTAAATGAAAATAGGAACGGTCTAGGTAACGAATCTGACCCCGCTGTTCTTCGTACTGTATGCCCAACAAACAGAATGTGCACATGTCACCCCTAGCTCTCCCACTGTACCCAACTAAACTTCATTCCGCACAAACTTGACAACCTCATCACCGGCACGACATGTGTCTCGGCCGCAACCCAGCTGTTGTCAGTGCGTATGCAGTTACCATGGATACAGCGTTTGTTCTGTTAAAACGATTGAAATAGTTTTTTAGTGGAAATATACCATGTCTATGGCCTTTCCCCACCAAAATGTATGTGATTCGGAGTCACTGATAATATCAGTGACATTTGCCATGTATGGCCAGTGCCTGATCTCAGACCACCAAGCCAAATGAGGTACGAGCGTATCAGGATAGAAAGGTAACTCACAGTTGCGGAGCCGTTCAAGCAGCAGAGCTGCTCCACCTTGGTACTGCATTGCACCGTAGAACATCACAATGTTTGGGTGCTCCATCTTTCGCAGGAGAAGAACTTCGTTCGTGATCTCTCGCTCCGAATCGGCCGTTCCATTGTGACGTCTGGCTTTGACAACTGACTGCAGGGGGATACACAATCCGTTAGCAGACACACGCCGACATCACATGCCAACACCATTCGCACACCCATACAAGTTACACACCAGAACCAGGCACCCACCGACATCACACACGGACACGGATCACATGCCACCATCAGGTACAAGCCAACTTCAGGCAACCATTGTCAAAAGGCACATGGATCCACACCGATCACATGCCGACAGTAGGCAAACGCCCGCATCAATCATATTATGCCGGCTCCACACATACGCCCAAACCAGTCACATGCTGCCACCAGGCACTTCCAGACACCATGAGCACGCACATACACAGCAGGCACTTCCAGACACCATGAGCACACACACAGACACACACACCAAGCACTCGCAAACACCACGAGCACACACACACACAACAGGCACTCGCAGAGACCATGAGCACACACACACCAGGCACTCTCAGACACCATGAGCACACACACAGACACACACACCAAGCACTCGCAAACACCACGAGCACACACACACACACACAACAGGCACTCGCAGAGACCATGAGCACACACACACCAGGCACTCTCAGACACCATGAGCACACACACACACACACACCAGGCACTCTCAGACACCATGAGCACACACACACACACCAGGCACTCGCCGACACCATGAGCACACACACACACACCAGGCACTCCCAGACACCATGGGCACACACACACACACACACACCAGACACCCGCCACATGCGGGGACCAGGTACAGTATGTGTCCGTCACCAAATAATTGGGGGGTCAGCCACCTAGCCTAGACCGTTCCTATTTTCATGCATCACAGTCCATGGGCAGTCGCGTCACCGTGTACTCATTGGTATGCTGTGCTTGATGATCTTCGAGCCTGGCCGTTCTTCTGTGCTCCGTTCTTCGGCGCCCATCAGTACTGTACATGTACATGCCCACAATAGGTGCACGAAGACTTTAGAACCCGGTAGACCATAGCCTCACTGCCTAACCCTTCGGTGGCTTGCAGGTGGTGTACAGATGATTGGATGGTGTCCTCAAATAGCAGAGCTCTGGTGAAATATTTGGCCATAGACTACAAGTATTTGAGGCAATAGAAAAGCGGGGATCAACTACAGATATGGACTCGGATGGTTAGCAAGTTAGTTGTAGAACGTCAGTGCCGTCGGTCAGTGTCGTGCAATGTTATCGCATGAGCTGATTGTTTAGTAACTGGTGGTGTTAGTGGACATTATGCGTAACTTGTAGGTCCTTGGTGCTTTTTTCTCAACTACAGATAACTTCTATATCTTTTTAAAAGCCTTTAGACTCTACTTTAAACTTGGCTCTTGGGAACTGCTTGGCCAAAAATGGAGATTGCAAAAGTCGGCAGCCCCAGTTAGGCCAAATACTAGTACAGGTAAATACACAGAGCCATGGATGCTTGTCAAGGGAGCGGGGAGCCTTCTTGATCGGTATACAGTAAGCTTTGAGGTGGATAGGTTATTAGCACAGCTACGTACATGCTGTCCAACCGTCTTACTATCAACAGGACAGTCCTGCTTTGGACCGAAACATGTGTGTACATTTACATGGGAGACAATTGCCTTTGTATGCATTTTCTATAGGTGTCCTGCTTAAGGCTTAAGCAGCTTTGGAAAGGTGGCAAGGTTGTACAGTCACAGTCTGCACATACAACGTCACATAAGAAACGTCACTCCATGTCCTACTTACCCTGGATATATTCACCTCACCGGGGATAAAGGCCGGGAAGATAATTGAATGATGTCCACATCCTATGGGTTTATCGACGTCCACGTAAATTCTCTGCGCGAGCGAGGATGGGCCCAAGCGTGCCAGATTACCAAACAAGGCTCTGTCGAGCGGCTGAGCGTTCGGGAACTCTAGGCGACCTGGCCACCCTTTTCCCGTGTACTTTTTGCCGAAAGCTGATCGGGTCGGCTTTCCCTGTTTTGTCGCTGGCAACTGAATTCCCACTTTCGACATATCTGCTGAGAGGATCAGAAAAAGAATGTTCGAACAACAACAATGCAGTGAGCTGGCAGTTAGGTACAATGAGTGCCACCTTTGGCAACTAACTTTGAAGCATTACAAAGGCTCGTTTCTCCGTGGCAGCAGCCGGCAGCGCCAGTCTAAGGCGCAGAATTGTTTCGAAATCAGCCCCGTGCTACCTACAACGCACAATACCGGCGATGTTGCGATGTCGGCGGCTATACTAGCATATTCGGCAGGGAGCGCAAGTTCCAATGTCACCAAACACCGTTCAACATTATCGCCGAGCTCGCAAACATCATTCTCTCCGTTCCTGTTGAGCGTTGTTGTTCGCAAACTAGGTTTCACCGTGCGAACGGAGGCAGCGTTGCAGATAGGGCACGACCTTCGGCGTCCGTTTCACCACTCTACTGCTACGAGCGTGCGGCTGTTTCTCGTACATAAATAATTTTACAGACATTCGCCGCCTCTGCTCGCCTTTTCTGCGAGTTCTCCGTCATGATATAAATGAAGCATTGGCCTTGTTCATTAATTATATATTTTCCCCACTCGCACGTGGCGGAGCGAGTTCACAATGGCAAACGACACATGGAGAATGCATGCTCTCTTGACCAGCGGGTCTCAGCACTAAGCATTTCTTGAACACATTCATTTTCACATTGGGGTCCCTCTCAAACGCTCAAGTCGAGGGATCCCAATGTGTAAATGGCTGCAATAGAGTTTACGAGTACCTGGAGAATTACATTAATTCTCGATTTCGTTTGCATGCCAGCAGTGAGGCCAAGATGAACAACACATTCAACTTGAAAAGAGAAGAAACACTTGGGAACGAGTTATGCAGCAACTACTATAAAGATAATGTTAAACTGTCAGAAAGTGCGACAAAAGGACACAAAACTGACAGGCTACTGAGACATTCAGCGACCCGAGACCTAGCTCCAACACATCTCCATTGTGCAAACCGACAGCCTTCTAGTTTGGAAGGTTCATGGTTACGTAGGAACGAAGAGGGGAAGGTGAGCGCAGCGAAAATTTGCACAAGCTAAGTCCCACGGCAACAGAGAATGTCGACTGTTACAGGACGATTACGATACCAGTTAATAACAAGACAATGCGGTCCAACTACAATTCGAAGCAGCAAAGCAACACGCAACCCACCTTGGGTGGGTCAGCAATATCAGAGATAAAGGAAGGTGTGTTTCTTCTCTATTATACATTTGTTACTGGCTTAGTATCCGAGTATACATTCAACTTACCTTATTATTTTTGTATTTTTCTTTTTCGCTTGGCAAAGTAGTCGCCAAAACTTTCTCCTTCGGAGAGTGATCCCTGGATAACCAGCGGCGAGCGTATACATGTCTCGAAGCAGAGTTCCACATAGAAGTTTGTATGCGTACGTGTGTATTGGTGTATGGCTGTTGTATGCCGGAGGGGAAGTCACGTGACAAAGCTTGGAATTCGCAATTCTATACGTGCACAATCATACACCCATCTTCAAATTTGTTTTTCTGATTAGAAGTTTCATTTGGTGTGCATTTGGAAAACACTTGCTGTAACCTGGTATCTTCACCAGGTTTGCGTTGCATTGATCCATCGCGTTTGCTTCAACCGTGAAAGAGGTATTTGTACTGTGTGTAAACGTTGCACGTCACTCACTGCAGACACTCTGCTGTCAGTGCTGATCCGCGGGATGCATATTATCCGTCTCTAAGGTTTTGACTGAGCCTTGTGCAGCACTGCTAAAAGTCAGTGCAATTTTGTCATTCTACTTCGAAGTACTAACATTTTAATCCGAGCTATGACGATTGTATTGTCGGTTTCATATTGACGAATTTAGGTTGTCTATTCAACTTTGGCTTTTACCTGCTGGCTTCGGTCAATTTTCACAACAACAGTACAAGTCGAACTTACTAAGTTAGTTGTCCCTCACGCGGACGTGCGACTAGTTGTTGGAGGTGACAGCGTTGCGAATAGCTATACTGGCTCTCAACGTCTGTTTAGCACACTTCCATGAGCGACTCTGACTCACGCTGCTACCTGGAGCTTCACGAGGTGTTTTTCGCGCTGGAAACAAAGCGTCTCTCTAAGTTTGTATCTCTGGTGATGGTTTGGCCTGGAGAGCAGTATACTTTAAGTGGTGCTTTTCAGGCACAATCTTCCTCAGCCTACTCAAGCTCAACTGATGAGGGGTGAATTCCCAGAAACACTGTGTATTGAGCAGGGAGTGGTGCTTTCTTGCAGGTTTGCCGAGTGGAATGTGCGACGTGCTCCTCGTGTGCTCCGGATGGCAGTCGTGAGTCAGTCAATGGTCAAGTTCCACGAGAAGCATGTGTTCCTAGTTGGAACAATCAACTTCATAACAATACAAGTATTAATTTTATTCGGGTAACAATGAGAAGAAAGGCAAAGCAAAGAGAAATGGACAACTAACTCGAACACCAATCACCATGTAAAGTATCTATTCATGTATATGAGCCTCCGCCACTGAAAGGGTGGCGAACTGATCATTCGAACCCACACTGGTATGGCATCCCACTCGCGCGAGCCAAACAAACAGAAAATGCAAGACCAGAACAATGCAACCGAATGCTTCAGGCGTGCGGTAAGTACTGTAAAACCGGAAAGTCTAACGTTTTAAGGACAAATTATTTTTCGTTATTTTAAAAATACGTTATCACAAGATGTCTGTGTAAAGATGCGCATATAGATGGGTGGCCAGATAGCCATCGTTAAACTTTCTGCACGTTATCATGACAAAATTACTACAACGTCAGACTTTTTGGTCGTTAGTCCTTTCGGTTTTACAGTACTCAGATGGTGAGCGAAGGAAAATATTAACGCCTAACGTTAATATGCGGATAATGCCGGCGCATATGCGGATAATGCCGGCAGGAAAATTGGCAGAATTCGGTACTTTTTCTGGTAAGTTTCATGCATGGTTGGTATATGGATAAAGAAATGAAGCACAATTCGAGGAATTGCCCGCCATAAGGTTTGTATGGTTCTGCCAATTTCACTGCTTTTCGAGCATTATCCGCCAATGCCTACTAACATGCGCCCCACCGCTTTCCCGCTTCAGGCGATTGGCTTCGTGAATAAAGCCCTTCTCAAAAGACTTTTAGTATGAGCTGATGTCCATGTTTCATTGAGGTTTTGCATTCCGAAATTCGGCAAAAGACTTGGCGCACAGGAGCGAAGCCGAAAAAACACTCGAAGATTTGGCACATTTGTTCGGAAAAAGCTCCCTTTGTCGAAAGTAATTGTCGGAAGAAATTTCTTGTAGAAGAACACTAGCGCGTGATTTACTCGAAGAGATTTCTTATCTCGGCATGGCTTCTCAGGCGTCTTCGGCGGCATCAGCATGGTCAGGTACCACTGTCCCTCTACTCGCTGGGAGTGTCCTCACCATCATCTGTGTGGCTGAAAAGACAAGGCGATACGAATAATATTGACTTGGGCATGAAGTTGGTTCTTCTGAGACAAGTCACGAGGCACGTCCCACAGTGTCTGTGTAGAGCTGTAGCTGCATGGAAAAACGGTCGTTAAGAGCAGGTGGTCGCTAAACACAGAGGTCGCTTACATCACGTTTTACTGTAGTAACTAGGTAGACCTGTACCATATTTTGCATGGCCTTGGTACTTATCCGCCCTGTTGTTACGAATAGGTTTTTCTTAAAAAAAATGTTTTAAGAGTAAAGGACTTGTGGAGTTCGCAGGGTTCTTGCAGAAGCCGGACGTCGTAGCAGAAAGGGGGTGTGTACGACTCTCTGTGCACAATGTATGTAAGTCGACAAGAAAATTAATGCTCTTCAAGAATTGAAGCAAGAACTCGAAGTTTTCAAGTAGGTTTAGATCATTTCCCCACTAGAGCACCATCATCTTATTAACACTATAAAAATTGTAACGTGTTTATTGCAAGACTTGATGTGGACATAATTATGTTTTAGAAAACACTCACAAACTACACTAGGCAGATCTGGATCTTGACAATTGCCGCTGCCATTGTCAATGTCACATTCTCAGCTTCAAGCAGCTCCAGGCGCAGCTAAGTACATGTATCGTTATATTTCTGTTTAGCGAGCAAGAGATAACGAGGGAGTGCGGGTGGCTGAGGTGGGGAAGGGGGTTTAGAAGTGAGCAGGAGAAGGAAGGTTAAAAGCGTTACACTGGTTCTATGTGCCCTGGAAAGCACCATATTTGTGTCCGACTCGTCCCCGTTACTTTTCCGTCACAGTTCCTCCAAGGGGTCGGGTTCAACGGAATCCTCTTTCTCGTCCGGGTTCTGTTCGTGTTTCGTGAGGGGAATGGCCTGACAGCATGTATCTTGCTCATGTGTCACTCGACCATGGTCACCGATCCGAATTGCCACTTCATTGAAATCTGGGCGTTCGTCTATTGACTCGTACGCTGGCTTGCTGGACTTCATGCTCATACTTCTCCCGCCTGGACCAGAACTCTGCTTACGGCCGAACATGCTTCGTTTTCTGCTGCCTCTTCTCTTATCCAATTCTGACTCTCTCCTGGCGGCCTCTTCGGCTCTCAACTCCTCTTCGGCTCTCAACTCCTCTTCATACCTCAAAGCCTCTTTGGCTCTCACCGCCTCTCGATCTATTTCCTCTAGTACCTCATAACAAGGCGAAGTGGCTCCTGACGGTCTCCAGAAAACTGTTTCACCCACTTGAACCCTTTGTCCTCTACCCTGTACACCGGCTGCTGCTGCTGCTGTCTGAGCCTGGCCAAATGCGGCTGCCGGACCCTTTCCAATGTCCTTGGCAAACATCCCTGCGCAGTAAGCTGAGAGCACGTCCTCCCAGTCCAGGACTGGCTGCGGCTGCCCAAGTGGGGCTGGACCAACAGCAGCAGGGTGCGCATTGAGTAAATTAGGAACCTGCTGGGCGAGCTTGTCTTTCCAGTCCTGGTCGGGCTGGGCCTGACCAGGCTGAGCCACGCCCTTGACTTTTCGCTTCCTGGCGAGTCTCTCTTCCTCGAATTCCTGCAAGATGCGTCCTTTCTCTATGGTGTTGTAGACCAGAGTGACCAAAGAGCCCGGTTCACTGCGTGGAAACAAAAAAAACAGGAAACAGACAGACACCGTCAAACCTTATCCATTCGTACAGTCAAGAAACGATGCCTGTCCATCCAGGATTTAACAAGCTGCAACTTGCTCATTTTACTTTTGATTTGCACCATGTTGGTCTCAAAGGAAGCAGGAAAGACCCATCTTTCATCTACAAAAACTTTACTGCCATAATTATCATTCTCCCAATATATGTTTTAAGTCTCCAAAGTAACGCTATGTTTTGAGCGGGCCTTAAATAAAGCGAAATTGTCATTGTCTTGTTCATGAGTTGGTTATTATCATCTGACCATGTCATGATCAGTATAAATGGATCGTGCCTTCACATCGTCAGTGAACCTTTCGTATTACAGGTTACTAGCACTGTAAGGTGAGAAATTTTCGCTAGAGATTAAATTTCGCTATTTTCGCTACCATCACACAGTCGTGAATATAAATCACCGCAAACTGCTCTGTGCATTGATTTTTGACTGTACAAGATCCCATTGAAGAGATTACATCGAGAAAGTTTCTCGTCGTGAACCGGCACAAATCTTCAAAACGCAAAATTTGAGCGCCGCAAAAGTTTATCGCTTAACAGTATGTGATTAGGTCGTTAGTTGATATGAATATCATAGTCGCGGCATACTGATTGACCTGGATCAATCGGGTTACTAACAATAAGCAATTAATAGGCACTGGGCGCGGAAGCAATAGTTCTATTAATCTATGACGACATGTGTTTTACTCCGACACACAACGCTAGTCAAGTCGAGAAGTTTCCAAGAACGTGTCCATGCGATGACTACAAGTTGCAGTCACTGATTCAGTAGAGGAACATAAAGAGGAGAATATTTCACAGTTCGTTTGCGCTCAGTTCGTCTCAATTTCCAGCATCCGTGGGAATACACTGTTGCACAGACACATGTACAGTCAACTTCGCTTATAACGACATTTGACGGGGCATCAAAAAAAGTATCCTTATCCGCGAAGTGTCGTTATACCCGAAGTCTCATCATATTTTACTGTTGGATGGACCTTTGCTCTGGGCATAGACATTCTGTCGTTATTCGTGAATTGTCGTTATATCTTTTCGTTATATCCGCAGTCTTTATTAGCGAAGGTGACTGTACTGAAGTAGCTAGCATGAGAAATGTGCTCCATAAGCGTTTCTTTCAGAGTTCATGAGGATGAGGAAAAAGTAGCAAAGTCAAGTCTGCACTGCATTTCTTATAACGTTGGTGCTGGAATGAGTTGTATGGTGATTGCTGCCCTAGTATGCATAATTTGTTTTATACTGTTCCTCAACGAAAACATGGAATTCAACCTGCTATGGTCGTCACAACAAAACCTTCTCGGAAACTCCTTGACATAACGGGCTTTGTGCGTCGAAGTAATGAGTGCCAACACAAATCTGTGCCCATAGCTCCAATCAATTATACATCATTCTAAAAATATCAGTTTCTCCTGGACCTTTTGTCTATTGCATGCTGAGACGACAAAGAGGCAGGGGAAACAGATTAGTAGTAGCGAACATAGGTATTGGCGCACATGCTCATATTTCGATATAGAAAAACCCACACACTTCAAAACGCATGCTCTTGTGTGCGTAGAAGCACCACAAAAACTCTCACTCCAACGCAGTCACAGATATAACCAGGAAACTGCGAACAGGACATGGGGTTGTCCTCTCTCGCCCCCTCTCCCTTCTCCCCCGCCACACACACTCCTCTCATAGTATTATGTATCTGCAATGTTGTTGTTGTCGTTGATTTTCATTTCACTTCGCAAGGCCAAACGGGCAATGGTGCCCAATTATAAGGAAGCGAATTTCAAAGGGGCGAGAGCTACGGGGAGGGGGCTACGGGGCGAGAGTTACGGAGAGAGAGGGACAGACAGACAGAGAGAGAGAGAGAGAGAGAGAGAGAGAGATAGAGAGAGACAGAGAGAGAGAGAGACAGAGCGAGAAAGAGAGAAAAAGAGAGAGAGACAAACAGACAGAGCGAGAAAGAGTGAAAGAGAGGGCGAGGGAGGGCGAGAGAGAGAGCGAGAGCGAGAGAGAGAGAGAGAGAGAGAGAGAGAGAGAGAGAGGGAGAGAGAGAGAGAGAGACAGAGAGAGAAAGATAGAGACAGAGAGACAGAGAGACACAGAGAGACACAGAGAGACACAGAGAGAGACACACACGGAGAGAAAGAAAGAGAGAGAGAAAGAGAGAGAAAGAAAGAGAGAGAGAGAGAAAGAAAGAGAGAGAGAGAGAAAGAGAAAGAGAGAGAGGGAGAGAGAGAGGAAGGGGGAGAGAGAAAGCGAGACACAGAAAGGGAAGCAGTGAGGTTAGGGGCATCGGAGGGTGGTGAGGGCATCAACGTGTGGTTTGGGGTGGCAGCGAAAAACAGATTGCTATGTAATTTAGTCTTATAAGCGATTTTCAGCGTCAACAGAGCGATTTTGCAGTGTCAACAGAGCGATTTTGAAGCTTCAACCGGGCACACAAAGAGTTCATAGGTGCACAAGCACGCAGAGAAGAGTACATGACGTGGTGTGTGGACGGGAAAAGTCAGACAGAGCATTCATTGGAAGGTGTAGGGGATGGAAGCAAGCTTAAATTGCTGGGCAGGCTTGATCTCCCTTACACTCCTTGGGACTGTGTTCCAGGCCAAGGCTGCCTGAAAGGCCAGGTGAGATCTGGCGGCTTCTGACTGTGCCGAGGGGACAGTGAGGCCCCTGGAAACCTGGTGCCGGGTGGTGCTACCAGCTGATGGTGAGAATCGGTCCTGGAGGACTCTGCTGGCGTTTCCAATGACACAGCGCCACACCAGAACGAGCTGCTTCTGGGCGTAGCACTCGTGAACTCTGTACAGGGACATCCGTTCGAGCAGAGGCTCGGTCGAGGTGTGAGGCGGCAAACCGTATACAGCTCTCGCCGCTCGGTTCTGCAGGACCTGAAGGCGATCAAGATGCGAAACCTTGAGGGAGGAAGAGATGGCGTTAGACCCGTATACTAGGTCAGGCATAATGGCTGGCCTCACATACTGGATGCGACTACTGAGGCTCAGACATCGCCACAGTGCTCCAATCTTCTGCACAACGTTCTTCGCCTTCGCGTCAACATGGGGGTCCCACTTCACAGCGGCATCAAGGGTCACGCCGAGATACCTTGCTGTTGGGCTCAGGGAAAGCTCTGTCTGGTTGCAGCTGACACCAACATGCTGACCCGCATTGCGTTCTGGTACGATTGACAAGACCTGGCTTTTCTTGTCCTATAGAAGCAGATGTCGATGTTTGAGCCAGTCAAGCGACGTTGGTGACGGCCCCTGATAGGCAGGCTGATGTGGCTAGCACTGATTTCCTGTGGCAGTGCACGGCAATGTCATCGGAAAATTGCAGAGATGGAGCAGGATGGGCTATGGCAGGGACATCACGGGTGTACATGCTAACAGAACCGGTCCTAGGACCGAGCCCTGAGGTACACCAGCTGAGCAGTTAGCAGCAATACTGAAGGTGGGGCCAATGCGCACTTGCTGGGTTCGATCGCTTAAGTAGCTGCAGAACCAGCGAAGCGAGGCATTGTCCAGGCCGAGATCGAATAGGTCCCGGAGCAGTTGGCTGTGATTGACCTTGTCAAAGGCTTTTGACATGTCGAGTAGGCAGACGCCTGTGGTCAGCTTGTCGTCCCGGGCCTTTAAGATAGCATCTGTTGCTACAACTAGGGCGTCCTCTGTGGAGTGCTCACGGCGAAAGGCAAACTGCGTCGGTGGTATGGCACATTATCGCTCCAGATGTACAACAAGTTGCTTCTGGACTATCTTCTCGAGAAGTTTGGATACGATTGGCAGGAGCGACACAGGACGATAATTTGCAGCTACCGATGGATCACCAGCTTTGAAGAGAGGGCTTATTACAGCATGTTTGAAAGCCAGAGGGACTTCACCATGCCTCAGCGATGAGCTGAAGAGCACTGAAAGCGATGGAGCCAACAGGTCAGCGCAAGCACGGAGCAGACACCCAGGAATCCCATCACTGGTTGTGGCTTTGCAGGGATGTCAAAAGCCTTATCTAGTCAGTCGTCAATGAACAGTCGACCATGCTACAGACAAGTCAATACTTTCAAGCAATCTGCATAATGAATACGTACGTGAGCACGATGTTCCTGATCACGTCCCGAGGAAGGTCGGTGATGTGACTCGCTTGTAGCAGTGAGGCATCGTTTGGTTCACAATTCTCTGGCTTCTTGTTAAATACCCAGTTAGTGTACTCGTATCCAGGAGTTTTGGTGAACCATTCGTCCTTCAGCATAAGGTCAACAGTCGATCGCCTTTTGTAGTCAAGCACTAAAGCAGCAGTGATAAAATCTTGGAGTTCTGTAAGCGATAAAGTTGCAGAAAATACAGTCGCAGTCAGACTAGTGACCGGATATTATGCTCAATCTGCGGACAGAACTGTTTCACCCTTTGTGGACTCTTCGGCGCCGCACCATTACACAGTTCTGGCAACTGAAATCCAACCCCTGAGCTGTGCGGTCACATCGCTAAGACCCGACAGGGGTTGTAAAATTACGAATTTTACCACCAGAGACCGCTAGAAAGTGAACGCACTGCTAGGGGATCGGATTTCAGGTGCCGGCACAGTATTATATATATTATATAATTATAACAGTAGAACGAGTTTATTCAAACAATACGACGAAAATGTAGTCGTTCCGTTCGTCCTTGTCTGAGTCTCTTCGTCTTCGCTAATAAATGTCGTTCCCACCTTACCTGCTCCCGTTGTCCATCGCTGGAGAATATGCCGTCGTCCTGTTCGTTCTCAACAAATACAATATCATTCCTTAGTTCTGGTCGCAGCGGTCATCTGGCTGGCAGGTGATCGCCCAACTAGAGCGGTCGCCTTGGCGGGTTTTAGTGTATGTGACATCAGATTCTGCTTGCAGATGGATTAGAAGTTAAGCTTTAAAGATTTGCCAACCACGTGGTTCGAGAGCCAAACCTGCTAACGACCTACCGCAAAGGATTATGGAATTGCCCAAAGGGCAAATATGACAAATTGTTAACAAGCAGCCCTCTCACTCACCGAACGACAGGTCCATGTATGCCTCATTCCAAAGTAGTGCACTCCCATCCTCTACTGCTCGCAAGTAATCTCGGTGGGTTTCTCCGGCGTGGGGAGAGCCGGGCCTGGATGCGTTATTCGATGTGATTGGTTGGCTACCAGTAGCGAGCATGAATAGCAACACTCCCCTGTGTACACACACATTGTAGATTACATATATTATTATGTGTGTGTGTTCGTATGTGTGTGTCTGTGTGTGCGCGTGTGTGTGTGTATGTGTGTGTGCATGTGTGTGTACGTGCGTGTTTGCGTGCGTGTGTGTGTGTGTGTGTGTGTGTGTGTGTGTGTGTGTGTGTGTGTGTGGAGGGGGGGGGGGGGGTAGCAGAAACCGTTGACTGTGACTGATACAGCCATACAGCGCACAACTTAAATCCGTGATCATTCAGTACACACATACATAATACATGTACTGAATCTGCGGACAGCATGCTGTTTCGTTCTTTTTGAACTCATCAGCGCAGCACAGAGGAAATGAGGCCGAACCTGATAGCAATGGAAATAAAAATTTCCAATCAGGCCCGAACGTACCTTGCCAGAGTGCTCAAACTGACAAGTCAGTGAGCTCTGCATAACGCAAACAGCAAAGGCACTACCCCACGCAAGAGTTCTCAACATATACATGTAGATTGTGGTCGGCTAAGACACAATGCATTTGCAAAAAAGTACCCCTTGATAGTTTTCCTCGCAGTTTCACTTGTTCTCATGCTTTTTGCGTTTATGGGTCAAGCATTCATTGTTGTTGCTGTAGCTCTGGTTCCGTGCACCATGCGCTGTAATTTGCATTACCCACCCATTAAGCGACACTTGACTGTTTGATGATCGGTAAGCAGGGTATACGAAAAGCAATAAGTAATTTCGGTGCTACGAGTTCCAATGCTAGCTGCAATCAGCTTCTTCTACAATAAATTTGGCTGAAGTCCCAAACATTTCAATTCCAATCTGAGTAGGTTGCTGAGCATTAAAGTATACCACCGTAAAGCGATAACATTACTGCACCAGGGCAATCTTCAAACCAAATTGAGTATCAAGATCCAATTATATCACTTTTGAGCTACGTTTGAGTCAATATTTTTATGACAACATTGCTGTGAACAAGTATAACCGTGAACGAAATCTAAGTCGAACGTCTTGAGTAATCACTGCGTTATGTGTGTCTATTTTCGTTGCCTAAGTCCTCATCTCTCTTCGCTTTGTTTTCGCTGTATGGGCTCTCATTTATGTTTGCTTGCTTGTTCGCTGCTTGCTTGTATTGCTGAGGTAACATATGCTGTATTCGTGGGTCCCCATGGTGCATGAGCCACACATACTCATCCGGCGGATATGATGTGTGTTTGCATAAATGCACTAATAGGTTCACACTCACGTCTTTATTCGCGTCTTCGTCTTCGTTGCCTAGGCGATCCCGGGGAATCCCCAAAACGTGAGCTGAAGACTTCAAAACGCAGACGCGACCCTATGGGCAGAGTTTTCGGCCACGTCTTCGTCTTTTTTGTCGTCTTGAACTCTTGTCTGGCCTATCCGCATGCGCAGAGATCTTGGCGGGGAAATTCAAAGTGAGCATGCAACCTGCTAGCTGCATCTGTCAAAAGAAATTTCTTCTTCCGTTCCGTTCTCTTAGACTTTGACATTGAGGTTCCTTTCTTTTCTTTTCATACCGGTGCCTTTGTTCGTACCTTCACCTTCACCATGACGGAAACGTTTGATAATGAGGCCGAGGCTTGCCTGTTGCGGATTTGGTGCCAGATTTACGTTTTCAATGACAAGGTATGACAATACGCGCCGCAAAAGCAAAAGGAAGAGCCGAAGCACGCGTGCTTCCATCGCAGGGCGTAATATTCTTCACCTACAAAAAGCCAAATAATGATGACCACAAAACTAAAACTGAGAACTGTTTGGTCTTCCTCGAGGCTGGCTGGTACATCGTGTGGAAATTACAGAACTGCCCAAGATTTTTTATTTTGAATCTACTCGCATGCCGTTATTTTTTTGCCCATGGACTGCTAAAAATGTTGCTGATTGTTGGCAAAACGATGTGTTCGATGTGTGTGTGAATCGACTTGTGCAGCAAGTCGACGTTTTGGCTGAAAACGACGTCACAGAAAGACGCTTGTGTGAAACGGCTATTACACTGCTTTACATGGAAAACTCAACTTTCAAATTCAGTTTTTCTCACGAGTCCGCGAAACTACCCCAGCCTCCTTTCACATTTGGAGGCTCAATTTAAATCATGTAAGAAGCCTAATGGTTTAAGTTTGAATGGATTGTCCGTACACGAGAAAAAATTCTGTTTTAATTTAATGCAGTTTGGACTGGAAATGAGTGACCAAGTGGGACTCACAGGTGCCAAGTGTCAACTACGCAGGTCACGCGTACGCGAGCGTCGTCCTGCAGCTCCGGTGGATTGATATGGTGGCGAGTTTCTCCATAGGATCCTACTCCTAAATAGAACGCCTCGCTGCCAGAGAGGTCCCATGCCATTCCAAAGCCTGAAACAACAGAGTGAATCATCGTTAGTAGGCTGCCTGCTGATTGGCCGAATAGCCCTCACACTCAAGAGTAACAATACATTTTAGCCTACTTCATTTGCAAATCTGTGAACCTAGTAGGTCCCATTTGGAAGCAGCTTATGGAACAAGAGGACATGTGCAGCAGAACAAAAGAAACCTGTGGCTTTTCTTGACGGGCACGGATGAGTTTGAAGTTAATCCTCATCATCACCAAGGCTGGCATTCCCCCTTCCCCTAAAGCTGCTGCTACCGCCATTTCCGAAGCACCTGCGGTGCGTCTAGGTGGCCATGAAGTCGAGACCCTAGGTCGGTGGAGCTCCCTAAACCTCACCACTACTGCCACGATTCAGCTTGTGTGTGTTCTCCCTTGCTACATCTCATGTTTGGCATTTAAGTGGTCTTTGTAAAAAAAACAAAAAAAACCAAAAAAACCTGTTCTCTTACAGTCACTGGGCACTGCTGCCAATTCCTCCGGCGTGACGTCACGGTGGCAAACACTGCTCGTCCACTGACGTCACCACTGCTCAGCGAACTGACATAGCAAATTCTCAAAAACTGACGCCACCACTGCTCAACCACTGCCTTCGCCACCTTGCTGCCATCCGTGCAGCAGCAGTTACCCCTCCCCCTCCTCTTCCCCATCTGCACCACCTGCCCCACCAACACGTTCACTTCTAGAACTCACCAATTAACTTGACAACTCCAGATTCCTGTACAAGAATGTTGCTGCCATTTAAGTTATTGTGAACTACTTTGGACTCTTCGAGGTATGCCAGAGCTCGGAGCACCTGTGCCGCTATGGGGCGCAGCGCGTATTCAGGAATCACTCGACCCGGCGAATTTTCTTTAATGACCGTCAAAGTCCCTGTGCAGAGTCAACGCAACATATTAAAACTAACTCGACAGCATATTGCAGTAAAGAGAGCGAGCGCGAGAGAGAGAGAGCGAGCGAGAGAGAGAGAGCGAGAGAGAGAGAGAGAGAGCGAGCGAGAGAGAGAGAGAGCGAGAGAGAGAGAGAGAGAGCGAGCGAGAGAGAGAGAGCGATACGGAAAGAGAGAGAGAGAGAGAGAGAGAGAGAGAGAGATACGGAGAGAGAGAGAGCGATACAGATATATATATATATATAGAGAGAGAGAGAGAGAAGGTGAGAGGGAAAGAGAGAGAGAAACACAGAGAGAGAGAGAGAGAGAGAGAGGGGGGGGGGGGAGAGAGAAGAAAACTGTCAATACACTCGCACTCTTTCGGTAGCTTTCACAGTTCAGTTCCGTGTTTCATTCCCTTTTCTTAGCCTTTCCACCCCATACACAATGTAATCATGTTAGTGCTAACTTAAATCAAAAACTAAAGGTTTTTGCTTGTCTTTTTTTACCAGGAATAACAATGAAAAGCTACCTTGAAGTACACGTGCACAATATTGCAATCAGCAATGATTTTCAAAATGCACATGCTCTCCGAGGGAATTGACTTCTTGACCTGCAGCTCTTGTTTATTGTTGTGTGCGTGTGTGGAGGGCGCGGGGTCGGGATTGTTGTATGTGCATGGGTGCATGTGAATGTGTGTGCGTGCGTGTGTGTGTGTTTGCATGTGCTTGCGTGGGTGCGTATGTGTGCGTGTGTGTGTGTGCGTGCACGTGCTTGCATCAATCTGGTGCAGATGTGTGTGCGGTCAATTTCCAGTCGAGAGGATGTGGGTGCAATTCCCCGCGATTATGGTCGCGCACGTCTTCCTTATCTTTCGTTCTCCTGGTCGGTTGTCAACTGCCAGTGCGTTCTGGAGTAGGTCTTGGTGGTGGTGGTGGTGGTGGTGGTGGTGGTGGTTGTGATGGTGATGGTGTGTGTGTGTACATTGCACTATCTATCATGTTACTCGTGAATCACTGCCTGTGAAACGTGAACGTGCCTGTTGGATATATCACATTACACTTTGAAAGAATTGGGAGGACTTCAAGTTCGAAAGACGAGTCGGCGACGTGAACCACCTGATAAGCGAAAAAATGGCGACTCCACTAGTACTAGAACCCAGGCCCTGGCTTGTCATAAGCAATGCTCTAGTCATTGAAGCTCTCGGAGCAGGCCAAACCTGTATTTTCACTCCAAACGTACTTACAGTTGCACAGCCTTTCGAAAAAGAGTGCTGCTCCGCCCTTGTACTGCATTGCACCGTAGAACATCACGATGTTCGGATGGCAGAGCCTCATTAAGATTTGCACTTCGTTGGTGATACTTTTCGCCACTTCTGGTTTTCCGTTGTTATGCCTTGCTTTGATGACGGACTACAGAGAAACACATCGTGAAAGCAGAAACACAGACAGACAGACAGGCAGACAAAGTCATACTCCTGGCAATCGCGGAAGAGATGATAGCTAATCAGCTACGTTAGACATAGCAACTCGTGTTTGTGTGTTAAAAAAGAAAGAATGAAACAAATAATAGGGCAGACAGACAGACCTCCCCCGAAAATATGCTGCTATGGTATTTTGTTTGACAGCACATTTAATGCGGCGAACGCACTGTATTTAAACCAGTGTTCCTGACTACAACCATTACGGGTTGGTAGAGCCACGGTCTTGACGACCATCTTAACCGTAAGGGGTATGGCCTTGGTTCGGCCCCTGAGTATACAAGGGAAGTCACTGGAAGACATTTGCTATTAATGTGTGCGTATTGTCCAACCTCTGCCCATGGCGTCTTCCCGTGAATTCGCTAGCTTATCAACAGTCAATGGAAGCGCCATGATACTGTCGTAAGAAGGTGCTCCCAGTAAACGAGGTAGGTATTTATCAGAGGATAATGCGCTCAGATCTGTTAACGAACGTTATGGAAATTGAAGGTGTATCCGGAGTATAATGCTCGGGCCTAGATTTGAAGTACCGATTCTAAAACAGCCATATTGTGATTATGGAAACGAGGAAAACGGTGGGGCACAAGTTATGCGTTAGAGTCCACCAACTAAACCAGAGTTTGAACGGTCAGACGTGCACAAGGTGGTATCAGACTGACAAGGAACACTGAGACATATCACGGCAAGGAAGAGACCTTGATCACTACTCAGTATAGCGCTAACCAACGGCCTTCCAACTTGGGAGGTTTATGGATATCAGTGTTGATGCCAAATGTTTCCTTGCCTCACCATTTGAGCATTTGACGCGATCATTGAGAACGTTTTCATAACAAACTTGATATTCTGCAACATTATGTAATGCACATGCTACCTTGGGCGTCTTAGTGTGCGCTCAAACTGACCCCAAAATCAGCGTCCATGCGGCCACGTGGCCCAGTAACAGTTGCATGTCAACGGCATGCACTTGACCTAAACGCTGCCACGTTTCAAATCGTGACTGTGTGATCCAGAGGGTGGAGAGTGCCACGACTTGCCAGCAACAACACAATATTATCGTAGACGTGAACCGTGTTTGTGTACAACCTGGCCAGAAGTATGTTCAGTTTCTCAAATTCCGGTGTGTTGATTCATGAAACTCGGCAGTTGTCGATGTCATCCTCGACACTTGCACAGTTTGTAGTTGCGGTCCTGCACGCATGCATCGCAATACATGTACATGTATGCATTCTTGGCCCTTTTTGGACGGTGTCATTTTTGTTTGTAGTTGCTTCGTTGTCAGTATATCGGGTCAGTGACCAATTTCTACAGTGTACTTGTTCAATACGATGGCAGCTTGGTCTGGCTTTTCGGTTTGGGAAATCATCATTCTCTACTTTTCTGAGATGATGGAATAGCATACCTCAAGACATTTCAGTTACAGACATGTATCATGGGAAAATACAAATTTGATCTCGGCAACAGACAAAAGAAACCACTAGCGGAATTTCCACTGCAGTGGTACTGGCTCTGACCACGAGAACAGGAAAGCGAAAGCGCTTGGACATCAGCCCCTCCAGAGTCCAAACCTGCATGATTGAATGAATTATTTTCGTCGACTTCAAGAAACGAGCCACGAGGCACTTCCTCCAACATGCAACATGCAATATGCGAAAAATTAATCCAAAACGGGCTACAACTTTACTAGGCAACTCACGAACTCTTTTGGATACGAACTACAATTCGTAAAGTTTGTGTGACAACTTCACGTCTAGACGTGTACGAGGCCTATTTGTAGTGTGAGCACCACTGCCACGTTTCTGCGTGTTGCTGACGCATGGACGAGTGCTCATGGTCGCAGTGTGAGCGCGCCCTTATAGGGCATTCACACGACGTGAAAATGAACGAAACACGCTTGTGTGAAAGTGGACAAGCTGCCCATCGGATTCACACGGAGAGCAGAGTCAGCAGACCCGTGCAAATCTCACATGCGTTTGTGTACTCATGTAATATGAATGCCATACTCAAGTCCGTTCGCTGTTTTACACGCGCACAAAGGACAGACATGGGCCTCGGACCCCCGAGAAAGTTTATCAAGATTTTTCACGCTCAGGTATAATAAGGTGATCATGTGTGTACAAAACTTGTATTGGTAATAACTTTGGCATCCATCAATATTTTTCAACCAAATTTTCTGTGTCGATACATTGGGTTAGTTTTCATCGATTTCCGATATCAAATTTCAAATAGGAGCCGAATGACGTCATCAGTGCTACTTTTTATGTTCAGATTTCAACCCAAAACGCGGAGAAAACGAAAAATAGTAAGGCCACAAATCCCGGTGGATTGGGTAGCCTTTGGGCCCTAAATAAAGGATATTGGTGGATATTGTACATAGATAACAACATTTCGCTGGAAACCAGTGTCGATTTGTTTTACCATACGCACTGTACACATTTAGTATACAAAGCTGTCGTACCTCGGGGTCTGCTCAGACTCACCACCGCCAAGAACGGGTGTTTAGCATTGATATCCAGCACATTCCCGCTTGCTGGGATGTACAGCTAGCCAATGCAACAGCTCTCAATCGCCAAAGACATTCCCCACGCTCCGCGTTTATGGAGGAAGCTGTCATTGCTGTTTCAAAATAGCCGACATTGTCTCCTACACACAAATGACTGTACTGTACTGTACAATGTAGTGCATCACACTAGCTGTACTGTAGATCAACCGACCCGTACACGCATGCACTTGAGTAGGGCACTTGACTCCCACGCACGATCGCGCTGGTCACAACTGAGTCTGTACGCGACTGTGCTCGTGTCGTTGTGTCTTGCAAGTGCACTCTGTACTAGCTGTACAGAAACAAGGCAAGTGCAGTTTTCAGTGCATGGACTCGGCTACAGTACTAAAACATTTTGTGGAACAGACAAACCTTCTTTACGATCTTGGTCATTTTTCTCAATCGACTCTGTACTTCAAGCTAGATGTGTCCCGTGGGGTATTGCCCAACTAGAACTGGAGTCCTCACATGCCCCAGGTCGCGCCGAGCTAATCACTTTTGTCAGCAGAACTCCTGATCGCGACTCAACACATTTATTCTGTCCGATGTCATTCCCGCTGCGAGTGGGGAGCTTCATGCGCCCACGATAAAAAAGAACGTCATAATCTTTGAATCCTTCCCCAGAGAAAGCTACTCGAGCTCAAAACGTCACAGGACAATGGCCATGATAATGATTCTCGTACAGATCGCGATGTGACTCGCCTGCAATCCTCCAAGCTCCAAGTGCTGCCAAAACAGACTGGAAAGAATTTTTCAAAAACAAGATTTAGAAAAAAAGCTGAGCGCTCGAGTGCGGCGAACACGGCCAAACGCCATGTTTTCCTTGGTAACATGACGTCAGCCGCATTATCACCATGGCGAGTTGCAGCGCTGATCTTGAAGTACAGCGGCACCAGAAAAGTGTCCTTATTCTACCTGAGCGCGCTTGGGTCACACGAGTAAAAAGAGTACAGTACCACACACGTGAGTTTTTGCGTCGT